TACAATTTTGCATTCTGTTGCTTCCTTTCGCAATTCTTCCTATTTTCCGGACCATCAATCTTATTTGCTTGATGAAATCAAGTCATCCTTTATTTAGGCATACCTATTGCGGCAACATAAAGAACGACTGGAACAACGAAGTCGGATTCTGGAAGAACAGAATCGTCAACTTGAAACACAACTTGCAAGGCTACGAACAGTCATTGCCCAAGTTAGTTACTTACCCAGTTTTTGTGATATATGACAGCTAAAGTGTTTACTCCCAAAATAAAATCAGCGAATTTGAGCAGTCTTATGACTCAACCATGATATTCACTTTCAAAAGATCCATAGGGTGAGGGATAGTTTAGCTATCACAAAATTGTTTATGAATCAGCCTAAGACCAAAAAAGATGAAGCCAATATTTTTGCTCTCTTATTTCGATCATCCATTCTTTTTCCTTCATCTTAACTTGAAAGTTGAAAGCACTTAATAATTTTCGGTAGAACTGTTGAAAAATTGTCTTCATAAATACAACTGCAGCAACAAAATGTTGGGAGCGAAAATAAAGAAAGTGGGCCGGAAGAGCCTGAATCGAGTGCGGCTTCGGCCGAAGAAGATGAAGGAATTGAGTATGATACGAGGCCAAATCGCATGAATTCTCTTATTGCTTCAGTGGATCAGCTAGGTCGTGCGATGCAATCGTTTGTCGTTTCGGTAGTTAACGATGGTGATGAAACTAACGAAGATGAGGATGAAATGACTATTAATGGGATTCACTGAATTAACTTTTTATAGCAGTTATATTTGTTACTGATTTTTTTTCGAGTTTGAAGTTTATCTGAATATATAGAAAGTTTGAATCCAATTTGAAGACAATTTCGAGATTCATTCCTCGTATATTTTTACTGTTTACTTCGAAATGTAAATCTAACGAAAATTTCTCTAATCAAAATATTCTTGATTTAATTACTGCTATGTACAATAAAAAGGTTATCTCGTCATCTTTTATTGTTATTATTGTAATGCCTTCAACTATCACTGTTATAAATGATTTATTGCATGGACAATTCAGTGATGTACTGATGTCTATATGTAGTCCATATATATATATATATATATATATATATATATATATA